GTGGCTTGAGTGACACTTGCCAGAATTCTTTTCTCATAGGCTCAAAGGTAATATGTGAGCATGGAATTAGATGCAGTTGATAAAAAGGTTTCCATGTCTTCTGGGAAGAGGTGGGCGTGGGATGGAAATGTCTGTGATTTCAGCTCAAACAGAGTGCGGACTTTCGTCACCACCCTCTGTCGATGCTTTGCTTGCTTCTGAGTAAGTGTGTAGCCATGAAGATCTTTATTTCGCTGTTCCCATAATGATATATAAGAGGTAAGAAAGAATTCCACAAGATAACCCCCCAACACGAGCGGGGAATAGGAGCCGGAATGAAGATCAAGATCAGTAAACCACTGAAGTGAAATATGGCCGGCAAACATGTGGTGCCACCCAATCTTGCTCTGGAAATGAATAACTGGATGAAGGGATGTAGGATATTTCTCTGGAGAAACTGTGCCAGTGTCTAGCCATTCAGTAAGACATGTAGCAAGAGTGTCAATGGCAATTGGCYKGAAGCCAAGTGTGGACATCCGTTGTCGTAAAGATGTAATGGTCTGTCTTTGCCATTGGAGTCATGATGGATGAGAACATCCAAAGAGATGCTCACAATCTTCAGGCATCTGGCAGAGACAGCAAGTATCATGGGTTTGGTAGTTCCACCTTTTGAGAACAGTGGTAGTGGGCAGAATATTGTTGCAACATTTAGTGACCAAGACATTCCTGGAGATGCAGTTTATAGCAATGCTCATGGACTTCCAGGCACAATGTTGTTGTTGTTATTTCCAACACTTGTGTTGGATGGCAACAACAACAACAACAACCCCAGCTGATGCTGCCATTCCCAGCATGATCCTCCACTAGCTGAGTGCAGTTTGCCCTAGCTGGATCCATCTCCAGTTCTCAAGGAAAGGAAGCACCAGTAGTGTTTCCGGTCATGATTGTTGTTGTTGTTTCCGACATTCTTGCCAGAAAGCAACAACAACAACAACAACCCCAGCCCCCAGTATTCAATCAATACCTGTCCTTTGAAGAATAACACCTTGAGTATATGCTACATGCTCAGTCTAAGGATGATTCCCCTGCCTTATCTCCATGCAGTTCCAGTATGTTGTTGTTGTTTCTGACATTTCCGCTGGAAAGCAACAACACCGACCCCAGCCCCAGTATTCAATCCTATTGAAGAACAACGCCTGGAGTATGTTCTACATGATAAAAACTCTAGAGAAGATTCCCCAGCGTCTCCATGCAGTTCCTCCAGTATTCCACTTTTATTTACGGACCGGAAGAGTTTTCTGGTCACGACGTTGTTGTTGTTGTTGTTTCTGGCATTTGTGCTGGAAAGCACCAATCACAACAACAACCCCAGCCAATACTGCCTACTAGACCAGCATCACTCCCAGCACTATTCCCTCCAGTTGAGTACAGTTTGTCTCAGCTGGATCCATCCCCAGTTCTCAAGGACTGTTGTTGTTGTTTCCCAAATCCGTGCTGGAAAGTAAGGACACCAACCCCAGCCCCCAGTATTCAATCCAGGCCTATC